AGCCGAGGGAGAGGTCCTCTCTTGTCGGGTAGTGTTTGATCATTATGGGCTGAGAGGTTAAGTGTAAGACCATTGAGGATTATACCTGATGGGCTAATCTAGCATCTGTCCATAGTCCTTGGGCCTTCATAAGATGGCTGGACCCAAGGACCATTTAGTGTAAATGTTGGGCCCATTAAGAGCCCATAGTGATGGACTTAGGGGTTCACTGTATTCAGCAGTGAATTCGGACAGGCCTTGTAACAGAGGTTAGGCTGAATCCATGTGGCTGATGTGTAGATCAATGATAGGGTCCCACGCCATACAAAGAGAGCCAAGCTAGCCAGCATTAAAGTGGAAATGAGCCTGAAAGCTTAATGGGCCTAAAAGCCCATTTCGATAAGCTTAATAGGGGCGGACCTGGGATTTGGATCAGCAGATAAGATAAGGGGTTATCCTTATCCACTTAAAGAGTCCAGATCCAAATAAAGATTTTGATCAAAGGAACTCCTAATTTGATTAGGAAGGCTGATCTTTATCTGTAGATAAGATAAGGGATTATCCTTATCACTTAAAGAGTCCAGATCCAAATAAAAGATTTGGATTAGAAAACTCCTAATGGGATTTGGAAATTTCTCTTTAAGGCTATGAATAAGAGAGCAGGGCGAACCTCCAAAGACACATTCGCTGAATACAGAGAGAAGACAACACAGTTAGACTGAGAAACAAAGGATTTCTTAGTTTCACTATCTAACTGATGAGCACTTCCTCCAAGTAGGTAGATTCCATTTGTCTCACAGCCAGTTCCAATCACCTTCCTTGTCTCCAGATCCTGAAAAACATATCGATTCGAAAAAAAAGTTACTGAACAATTCTGTTTTTTTGTAATGCTACTAACTAAGAGCAAGTTAGTATTAAGCTTAGGAACATGCAAGACGGAGGATAGGGAAATGACATCAAACAACTTGATGTCTCCTTTGCTAGAAATAGGAATAAGGGATCCATCAGTAATTGACACTTTGTCTTTATTAGAAGATAAATGATAGGTAGAGAAAAGTGATGGCAAGCTAGTCATATGGTCAGATGCTCCTGAATCTATTATCCAAGAATGTTCTGTATTACCTGGAGCTAAAGCATGATAAGCTGAGGCCCGATTACCTGATTGAGAAAAGGATGAGGTTGAAAGAGCTGATGGTGGCTGAGGAGATGAGACTGAGTTACTAACTTCACTTTCCAATTGTGTCAGAGCAGCTCAGACAACAGCTAGGGTGTCTAGAGGAGTGCCTCTTGAGGCTGTTAAGGCTGCATTATCAGTGTTAACAACCATATTGGCATTCCCCTTTTTGTTTCTGAGTTTTGCTGGAACCAGGTGTGGATATAACTTCCAACAAGTGTCTTTAGTGTGTTTAGTTTTCTTGTAATGTTCACACACTAGGTCTTTCTTAGACTCTTTCTTCATATCTTTTTCCTTATCTTCCCCAGATTTGGGTTTAACTGCTGCCAGGGCAGATTCAAAAGACTGCTACTACAACATAACCTTTCTCCTAGTCTCCTCATTGTGCACTAGGGAATAGGCTTGAGACAAAGTCACACCCTCTCTTGTCAACAGCTACTGTCTTATAATATCATACTCAGAATTTAGACCAGCTAGGAACTCAAATATTCTGTTAGTTTCAACTTGTCTTTTATAAGTCTATGCATCTCTCTGACTTTCCCATTCTATTGTCTCAAGATGGTCAATTTCATACCACAGAGATTTTAGGGTTGAAAAATAAACAGAGACCTGTTTCTCTCCTTGTTTGAGATTTCTAACTTCCAATTTCAGCTCATAAGCTCTAGCAACATTAAGGGGCTGAGAGTAGGTTTCTTTCACAATATCACATATTTCTTTAGCTGTTTTTGTCCATAAGTAATTTCGGTTGATGTGTGGCTGCATGGAGTTGCACAACCATGTCATCACCAAATAATTTTCCTGACCTAGCATAAGTGGGATCTTCCTTAGTTGGTTCCTTCACATCCCCCAACAAATAGTTCAGCTTTCCTCTTCCCCCAATGGCCATCATGGCTGATTGGGACCACTCTAAGTAGTTTGAACCATCAAACTTCACAGTTGTAATTTGGAAGGTTTTTTCAGACATGCTAACTGAACCAGTCCCCAAAACACCCTCCCCTTGTCTTTTAAACTCCATTAATAATCAGTAAAAATACTTCCTAATTACTGTACCAGTTGGCTTATTGAGTCTGCAGCAGGTAATAGCAGTAAAAAAAAATGTGACAGTCGGCCTATTGAGACTGATAGTAGAAAATAACAGTTCTGTTGTAACAGTCCTGCTGAAACATCTCTTCCAGAGAGCAAAGAAGTCGAGGGAGACAAGTCCCGAAGCAATAACAGCCCTGAAGCTTGAGGGTTTTCTCTTAAACCCTAAAAGGAACTACAGAAATCTTCTGGAGTTTTTTTTGTACCTCTTATCAAGGTATTCTTACTACCGATCATAAGAAAGATTGAAAAACTTACCAGAAAATTCTGAAAAGCTCTGATCTTGAACCAGAAATCTTCTGAAATTCTGACTGCAACCTCTAGTACTGGTCGAACAGAAATCCTTTGAAATTCTGATCGCCACCTCCGGTACTGATCAAGGGTTGATCTTGATCCTTTTTTCTTCCTCTGATTCTTCCTGGTTATCTAGGATACGATCCAATCTTTGGACTGTTGCTGTAGATAACCTCCAAGAATCAGCTGAGGAGAGCTTTCTCTATTCTTCCAGCCCTAGGTAATTCTCATGTGGTCGGCTGGATCAAACTCACATGAGACTCCCTAATCCAAGCTCTGATACCAAATAGTCATACAAGACTACAGATTTGAATAGAAAATAAAAGAAAATTAGAAGAGAAGTGAAGAGAAGAGAAGAGAGATGGAGAAGAAGAACTCGTGGAAGGGTTTTAGAAGAGAGTGGTTGGTGTGTGTTTAAAACAGCCGCCTCACTCCTTAATTTATATACATAGTCTCCTAATTGTAAAAGAACTTTAATGCTTATATGGCAATAAAAGATAAGTTTAAAATAAAACTAATCCTAGATAAGATAGAATAAAACTAATCCTACTAGGAAAGATGACCCTAATCAATTTAAATCTAAGTACATCTCAGGGTTCCACACGAATACACTTAATGTGGGGTCCACAGTTTCCTACAAAATGTTAACAAGTGTCACTTAATACTATTATACAAATTACATTCATACTTTCTAAAACATAAACAACTCCTTGTTAAACTACAAGTTAAAATTGAAGTAAACAACAATAACGTATGAAATGTTAAATGAATATATACATACATACATATGTTTAAACATATGTATTATATATTATATACATTAATAAATATATTATTAGCAATTCAGTTTAATATGGTTTATGGTTTTGTCTGGTTTCTAAAATTTAGAAAACCAAACCAAGCCAATCTGTTTTAAGGCCAAACCAGACCAAACCACCAATTACAGTTTGGTTCTGTGCGGTTTGACAGTCTAGACCATATATCAGCATCCCTAGGTATCATGAAAGTTAGGCGGGAAGTTGCATTGCTACTCTACATATTTGCAATGTTGACACGAACTTATGTTATAATACTTTCTCTTGTACTCTGCATAGTGCTGGTAGTGTTCACTGGGGAATATGTTGATTCTAGTAAAATTTCACGTTGCTATAGAAATTGAAATATGTCATGGAAATATTAGGAAATTTAGGCTCAGTTTGGAAAGAATACAAGTACAAATATGTACAGTACAAATACATACAGAATACAAGGTTTTGCACTCTACATATTTGTATTTGTACTCTTTCCAAACTGAGCCTTAGGGACATTTTAAACCATGGTTTCATCATGACCGCACATTCAAGGTGTCAAGAAGGCCAAGATTCTTTGGAGCTCTATTTCTTTTGCTATTTGTTAGGGTATTTAGAGAGAAACAAATAGAATATTGTTTTTTATGAAAATTGTAGAAATATTTAGAGAATATACATTGTCATTGGCAACTAGATAGTGGGTTGGCCTCTAGTACTTATAGAATTTTTGGGTGTGGCTAGATCTTCCTTTGGTTCTAATTTCTATGATACTGTTGAATTGTGTTGATCATGTTTTAACGTAAATATTTCTAAAAGCTTTGTATTTTCTTCTCTTTGTATCTTTTCTGTACTTTTGAGCTTCCTTCTCACCACCCTTCTTGACTTGTATTCTCTTCTTTATTTTAATGAAATTTGTCTTTGATTACAGAAAGAAGAAAGTGACCCAATTAATAAAACAGGTAGAAATTATGAAATTACCATTGAAACCCGAAAAAGGAACTTTAAGATATCTTTTACATGAATGAGTTTTTTTTAATCTACTGATTGCATTGACTAACTTGTTTTTGCATTGCCCTAGGGGCAGTTGAGATATATGGCCCCACTGCCCCACTTCTGGTTTTTGCCAATTTTTCTCTTGTGAGCCTCCTGTGAGATGGGGATTAGGCTATAAGCCTTTTTCAGGTCCTTTCTTCCTTGCTTCTAAATCTGTTGACTTATTTTTAGGTTCTAAAAAGGCTCAAACTGATCTAACCAATCACATGTTGTTGCATGGCTGTAGAGAAGAGCCGTGACTCTGCCTCATTGGAATTTGCCTCTTCCTAAAGGCCCACAACATACCGAAAGAAATAAAAGGCAGGATCCATTCTACCTAGATAATACACTTTCTAATTATGCTACCATCAAAATTCAATTTGAGATCTTGAGAGAACAAGTTTTTACTTCTTTCTATTTGGGTTGCAATGAGTTTCAATAGTTCAAGCTAAGTATCTTGTCAGAATGTTCAAGCTAATGCCATGAAACTCATGCAAAAAACCCCACAAGATCGGAGAAGAAATGATCCTCTCCTTCAAGATGTAATAGGATAAAGATTTGTTCCCAAATGGATAAATTTTGTATTATTTTCTTCACCTCATTTTATCCTTGTGAGTCTAATTTTATTTCCATGATTCCATGTCATTCAGATTTGTTGTTATCGACCTTTCAGCTGGCCCTTGCACATATGGAAAGATAGAAACTGAAGAAGGAAGTGTCAGTTATAGAACTCTCCCTCGGTTATGGAATTTAATCTTCCCAAGAGGTCCAGGTGGTTCCAGTTCTCGCTCTACACAGGATATTTTTATGGGACATCTTGCAGCTCTAATATCAACTACTATTGAGCATGTAATAGCTCCAGATGTTAGGTATTTTAAATTTTATTGACGTACAAAATGACAGCATCTGTTATTTAACTCATTTCATGAATTTCTTCCATTTAAATTTTACTTCGCGGTAAAACCAGACAGTAAATTGTTACATAATCTCTTGCTAAAGTAAAATGGAATTTGAACCGTTGGGATATGGTGTTGAAAATTATTATGACAAAGCTGGAGAAGTTATGCAAAGGGACTCTTGCCACTGTATTTTCTTTTGGTTTTAGTCAATGAAATTCCCTTTTTCCTATCTGAACAGTACTTTTATCATCCATTGTATATTTAATCAACAGTGCATATAGTTTGGTTGCATATCTTTTTTGTCTTCGATGCTTCATCTTCTGCCTGTAAGAGATTTTTCTTTTAAACACCTGTCTTCTAACTGTTTGTTAAAAGTATATAAACTATTGTACATTAGCACTAAGAAGGCAGAGAAGAGACAATTGTATGTAAATTTGTATTGAAACCCTATCCACCTCAAGCTTGACTGCTTGAGTTGATTCATAAATTTTGTGTGCTTCAGATATGCCAAGTTTTCCATATATATATTTTTTTCTTTCTCAGTTGATTCATAATTTTGGAGAGAAGGTAAAGCATTGTATTAATTCTTAAAAAAGCATGTAGAATGCCCTGCAATGATCAAGCTTGCCATATATATATTTTTTTCTTTCTCAGTTCGCAACAAGTTTTAACCACAAATTCCTCTTTTTTATGTTCATCAATAAAAAGATCTTAAAATAATTTTTTTTTATTAGTAACTTGTAGAAATTTTATTGTTGGAAATGTACAGAGTCAAAATGCAAGATGTAGACTCTCTTGTAAACACAAGGTCTACAGGTCTGTTGAGTTAGCCCACAGCTGCTCCCCTACTACCATGATAAGCCCCTTTTACATCGGAAAATTTTGGTTAATTTCAGTGGTTTCCTCCCTTCTACAACATTTTAAAATAGTATTTCAAAAGGTGGAGAATGGGGAGCTAAAATCTTCTGATGCTGACTCTTAAGTGTCATGAGATCTCATTCTTTCAAGAGAAACATGGATTATATGAGATAAATTACAGAGCTATAAAAAATGTATAGATGAATTAATCATCATATAGGCAAAATTTTCTGATGATTAAGTCATCTATACATTTTTTATAGCTCTGTAATTTTGTATGGAAGAATGTACAGATGAATTAATCATCATTTGGGCAAGGACTCATTAGGAGCTTAAAAAAACTAATTGCATTCCTCCAAATCCTCTAAAAATATATGGAAATTTTTAATGTGAAATAGGGTGTCAAAACCCCTAAATATTTAAACAAATTACAGACACATGCAGAAAGGTAGACTTAATCCTGCTGTTGTATATGGAAACTTTTAATGTGAAATTGGGTGTCAAAATACCTAAATATTTAAACAAATATTGGGATAGCATCTTGATGTGGTGGAGAGAAATGTATGCTGCTTTACCTTATCTTTTTCAAAAAATGTAGAGTTAATCTTTAACATGGTCTTGCGATGAGAACCTTTAATGCATGTTCTTTGCATAAGGCGCCTCAAGGTGTGAAGCATGCTCTTACTAGGCATGATCATCTGGGCATTTTCCTTAATCAATGCTTAAACTTCAAACACCTTCTACAAAGTTGTTGCAGAATAAGCACTTAAGTTTTTCAGTTGAATTAGTGTTAGTGTTCCACTGAACAAATGCCCCTTGATGTCATGTAATCTTAACCTTTGGATAATGCAGCCTAAATAATTTCTTGACAACAGAATTACAGTGAATAAGTTGGATGTTAACAATATCCATTCTTTATTACACATCTGTGTTATTTATTTATTTATTTGTTTGTTTGTTTTATGTCTTGGTCCTTGATAAGTGTTGCTTTCAAGGACACTCTGCTATAGATTTGTTACAGCCTTCTTAATCTATTTCCTTCTTCTGTACTTATAAATTAGCTATTCCTTCACTGGCATTTTTGAGATGCTATATGATTATTTTATAGTTTATATTGTTAATAGCATGGCTGGTGAATTCGTTGATCATCTTTATGATCTTTTAACTTCTGTTTGTAAATAGTATCTTGAAGGATATAATGGTGTTAACTTTTATAGCTCCCATAAGATATTTTCACTTTCCTGTGCTTCAAATTGGATACTTACCTTCTATAGAATTTATTCAAATGCTTTTCTTCTTTGACCTCAGGTTTGAAACTGTTGACTTGACAACAAGATTGCTCATACCCATTATTGTCCTTCAAAATCATAACCGATACAACATACTGGAAAAAGGCCATAACTACAGTATAGATATTCAAGCAATTGAGGCAGAGGTAGGCTGTTTCCTCATGAAAAATTCTCTGAACCTACGTGCTCTTCTAATTCCTTTTTTTACTCATTTTTTTGGTAATGCGGAGGGATGATATATGGACATTCTTAAATGGGGGGGAGGGTGCTGACTGATTAGTTTGACAAGTCTCTTGCGTGATGCTGTGCTCCATAATTTCTTTCTTATTTCCCCCTTTTACCATGGTGTTACTTTCAATTTATTCTTCTGCATTCTGTATATAGAGAGTGCCTTTACTGTGGGATCTGCTTTACACATTCCCTGTAAATATATTTACTTGCCTGGTGGGAATGACAAAAACGATTTGGAAAAGAAAACTGATACTTAGGTTAGTGGTTTCTTCTCCACAGAATTTGTCATTAATAAGCTAATCTCCAAGGACCAGAGTCTTTAACTGCAGCCCATCCTATGGCATTCTTAGGGTCCCCCTCAACAACAAGAGTGCTGACTTGGATAGAAACTGCAATCCTCAGGCCAGTCAATAGCACTCTAATTTCAGCCTCTGAGGCATCAGCCATCCCAGCTGGTCCACTGAAGGCCCAAAAACACTACCATCAGCTTTGAGGAATACACCCCTTATGTCAAACAAGCAATTTGTACCAGAGAAGAGAAGACAGAATTCTGGGGTGAAAACTGAATGAATTGATCCCACCCCAAGAGCCATAATATATTTCTATATCTATCTATCTCTCTATCTCTCTATCTATCTATCTATCTATCTATCTATCTATCTATATATATATATATATAAATGAAATAAGGACTGGAGTTTTCATGGAGGCCATTGGAGTTTTCAGCTTTTCTTGCAGGTCATTGGAGATTTGCCTGGTGGGCAGGAAGAGTCAGAGAAATAGGTCGGTTTGTATTCTTGGGTTGAAATCAGTGATTGAAAGTGGTGCTCAGACTTTTCTGGGTAGGTTTCACTTTCCTTTTCAGGCTGACAGCTATTAGGACTGTTTTTGAATCCTCTGGAGAGAGCAGTTATCAGTTTCATGTTTTCTCCAGGGCTGATTCTAGGGTTTCAGCAAGAAAGTGATCAGATATGGGCATAACCTTCCTTTTTCATCTTATTTCTCTTCTCTCTAGAGTCCAGGAGAAGCCTGTGAACTGTTTCTATTGTGGAGATTCAGAACAGCTCCTGACAACTGATTTGTGAGAAAGGGGGAGTAATATTGTGCAGTTTTCACTATCCTGTGTTTTCTTTGGGGTATATTCAGCATGGAAACTACTGGGAATGACTCTAAATCCTATGGAGAAGGGTCTGTGGGGACTGGAAGTGTTGTTGACAACAACTCCTTTCAGATTACATCTGTCAAATTTGATGGAATAAATTATTTAGAGTGGGCTCAAATGGCCATGATGGCCATTGGAGGAAGAGTAAAGTTGGTATATGTGACAAGAGACATAAAAAAGCCACCAAAGGAGGATCCATATCATGCCAAGTGGGTTCAAGAAAATTATCTTGTCATGACTTGGTTATGCAACTCTATACAGCCCCTATGTTAGCAAGAACTATCTTTGGGCAAAAACAGCTAAAGAAAATTGGGATAATATGAAAGAAACCTACTCTTAGCCCCTTAATGATGCTAGAGCATATGAGCTGAAAAGTGAGGTGAACAACCTTAAGTAGGGGGAGAAACCTGTATCTGTTTACTTCTGCACTCTAAAATCATTATGGCATGAGATAAATCACTTGGAAACAATCAAATGGGAGAGCCAAAAGGATGCAACAACATACAGGAAGTTAGTTGAGACAAATAGGGTGTTTGAGTTCCTTGCTGGATTAAATTCAGATTATGATATCGTGAGACAACTTCTTACTAGAGATAGTATCACCCTATCTCAAGCTTACTCCATAGTATACGGTGAGGAGAATAGACAACAACTTCAGATTCATTTTTCCCTTCTCTTCCAACTAATACATTGGGGGTTGAGGGTTTTATTAGTCTGGCTTGACAAATGACTAAGATTTTATATTATTTTTGGTTTTATTGGCTAATCAAGGTTACAGATTGTGACACCAGTCAGCTACACAGAACTGCGTACCTAGAAAGGAGAAATTGGAAAAAGATGAAGGGCCTTGTATAAGAGAAGGCTCGAAGCTTGAGATTTATATGGACACGATAAACTGTTAGGTACATGCGAGATAAGTTGGACTCTCTTTGTCAATGGATATGGAAAGGACAAGAAGCGAATGTATTATCCTATGAAGGGGAAGACCTTTCAATTGTGTAGGAAAGTCCCCTGCCTCCCATCCGGCATTCTAATTGCTGCAAATATATGATTCTATTATTATTTTTCTTTTTTGGGTTTCTTTTTATTTGAAACTTGGAGATCAAATCTACTTATTGTAGTTGTGGTTGTATGAACAACCTTTTTATCAACTACTTTTCTTAATACACATGGGGACGGAGAAAAATAACCACCTTTTGAAATTGTATGCAGGAGAAAGAGAAGGAAGAGACAACGCATTAACGCAATGTCTTTTGGTAGGTAGAGTGTGGGTAGACACTAGAGAGTAGTGGGTAGGGACCAAAGGTAGGGGTGCCTAATGGTCACACAAGCTGTTATTAATGCAAAGATACACTTGGAAGAAACCCAATTTCCGACCGTGGAAACAAGATTATGCTTCAGAACTGGTTTAAAAGGGCACAATTTTTCAAATCTATTAGTTGTGGTTAAGGAAAAAGGATTTGATTTAAAGGGGAAAATTAAAGGGACAAAAAATTTGATAGTTGGTTCTGATTTAAGCGAATGGTTGATAAGAAAATTAGATGGCACTCAAGGGGCATTTGTGTCTTTTCACATGCCACTTAATGGCTGGTTAACGATAGGTACTAAATTGGCACATTTTGAAAGTTTGGGGATCAAGTGGCACTAGGCCCAAAGTATAGGGTACTAATCGGGAATTTTCCCTAAAGTATAATGCCAATGGTATAGTCGCAAAATACAAGGCTAGACTAGTTGCTAAGGGATACACAACTTATGGTATTGATTACTTGGAAACTTTTGATCCAATTGCCAAAATGAACACCATCAGAGTTTTGTTGTCTCTTACTGCTAACTTCTCATGGCCATTGTTTCAGATGGATGTTAAGGATGTTTTTCTAAATGGTGACTTGTAGGAGGTGTATATGGAGTTACCTCCTTGTTTTTATGATGTAGATGTTGGTAAAAAAGCCTATAGGTTGAAGAATGCTTTGTATGGTCTGAAACAATCTCCAAGAGCATGGTTTGATAGATTTAGACTTGCTTTAGAAAGATTCCTCTGTGTAAGTCCAGTTTGATCACACTCTTTTCATTGAGAAGAAAGACTCTACTTTGAATCTCCTAGTTGTGTATGTTGATGACATTGTGGTGACAAAGAGTGATATTGATGAAGTTAATTCCCTTAAATAGTTGCTTAATCAAGAGTTTGAAGTGAAAGATTTGGGTGAGTTGAGATACTTCTTGGGGATTGAAGTGGAAAGGTCCAAGCATGGCATTTTTATTTCCTAGAAAAAACATGTTCTTGAACTCCTAGAAGAAACTAGAAAATTGGGGGCTAAACCTACTGACACACCTATTGAGCAAAATCACAAGAGAAATGCAGAAGATGGTGAACCTCTTGAAGATAAAGTTATGTATCAGCGACTTTTGGGAAAGCTTTTCTATCTTTTCCTAACTCACCCTGATATTTCTTATGCTATTAGTGTTGTTAGTTAGTATATGCATTCTCCAAAGATACACACCTTCCTGTTGTTGAAAGGATTCTAGCCTACTTGAAGAGGTGTCTAGGCTGAGGTATACTTTTTAAAAATAATGACCATATGAAGATTGAAATATACACTGATGGAGATTGGGTAGGATGTAAGGATGATTGTACATGACTAAATCAGGGAAATGGAAAACAATTCTTGTAAACTATGATTTTACATGCAGAAGATATCGGACAAGAAATTGGTAAGAAATATCACTCAAAGCATATCTGTCACATCTTCTTTCTTCTTCTTGTATGCTTCATAACAGTAAGTTCTCTTTACTCCTTGGATGATATTTTGTATGTTTTGGATGTTTATTCATACACACCTCTTAGCAGATTGCTGGATCTAAGAAAGTGGGTGACCCTATACTAATCTTAATAATATTGACCTGATGATGCTTCTAAGTTCTAAAAAATCTACTTACCACTCCAAGATAGGGAGGGAGGGAGAGAGGTTACTTTAACTTGCAATTGTCAAATTGGTCAATATATTGCAGCCATGACATTGATTTGGAGACCAAGAAATTTTAAGCTCTGGTCATTGGTATTCTTGTGGAGATACCGGTTGTTTCATTTCCTTTTTTAAGTATGTGTTTTACACTATTACCTTGCATGACATTAAGGACCGAGAACTTCTGATAGGTGAATTAATAAAACAATTTTGAGAGGGTAGGATACTAGAGGCTTTGCATTGGTATACTTGCAACAAGTACTCTTGTTGAATATTTATCTTATTAATTTATATTCATCAAATTTTTGAGAACATATGTTTTCCTCATAAAAGGAAATTTAATAATTTTGTACGGTGGGATTGTTTTATCTTCTCCATATCTTTTGTCTTTTTCAGGTGAAGAAGATGGTCCATGCTGGGCAGGAAGTAGTAATTATTGGAGGTTCACATGCATTACATCACCATGAAAAACTGGCAATTTCTGTTTCAAAAGCAATGCGAGGTCATTCTCTGCAAGAGACAAAGAAGGATGGTCGTTTTCATGTTCATACCAAGACATATTTGGATGGTGCTATTCTTAAAGAAGTATGTGCTTATTCTATATACTCTGTTGCTTTCATTTGCTAAACTGTGACTATTGTGGATGTGTCAAATGTTTATTGCTGTTGCATTATGCATTATTTGACCGAAAAATCTACAATTTGCAAGGTTTTCAAAACTGAGCCTACAAATAAGGCATCCCCAGTAGGAGAAATTGCTTTGTGCTATTGTAAAATCTCAGGCTGACAAGCATGAGAATGCAGATTCATGTTTGAGAGTGGTCATTAGAATGGGACTTTTCTAAATGTATGAAGGGTCTGCATGAGATATGAGACTTATGAGTCAAGTTTTCATATCTCATGTATTCTTGAGGATACTTATACATAACATTTTCCTTTCTCATCTTATTTGACACATGAAAAACTAATATACACAATTGTGAACCAAACTGAGAACAAGAGAGAGAGCAGATTTAGGGGTGTCAAGAATAGTCGACCCCCACCCCAAAGAGCCCCTTTTATATTAAAAGATATGTACAGTTACAAGAATGCCCTTATAGGGCTGAAAGATAAAAAGAACAAATAAAATAATAAGAATACTGTACAACAAGGGCTATACTAATAATGTACATTAAGATATATCTTCACACTCCCCCTCAAACTGATGTGTTGCCCATAAGAACGAGGTGTCGACTCTTAGTCATGGCCTTGGTGAAGATGTCGGCAATCTACATGTGAGCGGCTACATGAGGAAGAGATATAGAGCCAACAATGAAAAGATCTCTAATAAAGTGATAGTCCACCTCGATATGTTTAGTCATCTAAGGAAGACAGGATTAGATGCAATCTTGATAGCACTTGTGTTGTCGGAATATAGAGGGATAGGAGTAGGAAGATGAGTACCGAGATCCATGAAGAGGGACTTCAACCAAACAATCTCACTACAAGTAGAAGACATGTCTCTATACTTAGCTTCGGTAGAAGACTTAGAGACAGTTTGCTGTTTCTTACACTTTCAGGAGATGAGAGAGTCACCCCTGAAGACGCACCACCCAGTAGTGGATCGACGAGTGTCAAGACAACCAGCCCAATTTGCATCAACATAAACTCTTAATTGTATGGGTGATGAGGAAGAGAAAAACAATCCCTGAGAAGTTGTCTCTAACATAACAGATGATGTGGCGAACAACAGTCATATGAGGTTGACGAGGGGCAGAAACAAATTGACTAACGACCTGAACAACATGTGAAATATCAGTTGGAGTCATAGTGAGATAGATTAGAGAGCCAACAAGCTGACGATACAAAGTAGCATAAGGAAGAACTAGGCCTTCAGATTTAGATAACTTGACATTCAGTTCTAGAGGGGTATCAACGTGTTTCTCATCATTTATTCTAGCTAGTTTGATGAGATCATAGGCATATTTTTGCTGACAAATGAAATACCCTCGACTGCTACGATGGACTTCCAAACCCAAGAAATAAGAGGGCCCAGGTCCTTCATGTGAAAGGAGTTATGAAGTAAGGACTTCAACTCACAAATGCCATCATAATCATCCTCAGTTAAAAGCATGTCATCAACATACAATAGTAGAACAGTAATACCCTGGGGCCTTCTCTTAACAAAGAGAGAGTAATCAGAGGAACTCTGGCTATACCCAGCTACAACATCTCGAAAGCGTTCAAACCAAGCCCTAGGTGCCTACTTCAGATCATATAGGGATTTCTTTAGGCGACAGACACGTGAAGAATTACTACACGTGAAGAATTTCTTTAGGCGACAAACCAAGCCCTAGGTGCCTACTTCAAACCAAGCCCATGTGGAGGCTTCATGTAGTCTGTCTCCTTCAGTTGACCATGAAGAAAAGCATTCTTCACGTCTATTGGTAGATAATCCAGGAATGAACAGTAGATACGGCAAGAAGATCCCGAATTGTGGTGATCTTAGCAACTGGGACAAAAGTTTCTTCATAATCAATCCCATATTCCTAACTGTATCCTTGGGCAACTAACCGAGCCTAATATCGATCAAGGGAACCATCTGATTTTAGTTTGATCGTATAGACCCAATGACTTCCAACAATAGAAGCATCTAGAGGAGCAGGCACAAGGTCCCAAGTATCATTCTCATGGAGGGCTTGAATTTCGGCATCCATGGCTTCTTTCCAATGAGGACTTCTAATGGCTTGCTGATAAGAACTAGGAATATCTGTGGAAGAAAGTACAATAGAAAAGGAGCTATGGCTTGAAGGAAAACCATAATGGTCAGGAGGTCAAGAAATACGAGTAGAACGATGAAGTGAAATAGAACTAACATATGAAATAGGAGTATCTTGGGTTGGGGCAAAATGTCACTTACAGGAGGTGTAGAAGGAGGATGCTCTGGACTGGGTGGAAGGAGGGTTGTAGGTGTAGGATCTGGGACACGTGCTGCTTGCGGGTGAAGACGAGAAGGTCTCTCTCAGTAGAGGAAGTAGGAGTGTTATCTGAATCAAAGTCCTACAAAACAGAGATAGAAGGATCAAACAATTTAGCAATTCTAGCAAAGAAGGAAATATGTTAAAAAAGCACAACATTCCATGAAATCCGAATATGACGAATAGTAGGGTCATAACACAAGAATCCTTTGTGGTCAGAACTATATCCCACAAAGGCACACGTAGCAGACTGAGCAATTAATTTAGAACATTCATGAACATGAAGATGTGCAAAACAAAGACAACCAAAAACATGAAGACTGGAGAAATCTAGGGGATGACCAAAGAGTTTTTGGAAGGGAGAAGTATTGCCAAGAACAGAAGAAGGAAGATAGTTGATCAAATACACAACTGTACTGGCTACTTCTACCCAAAATGAAGTCAGAGCCTGGGATTCCTGTAGTAATGTCCGCACAACACTGAGGATATGTCCATTCTTCCGTTCAGCTACATCATTCTATTGAGGAGTGTCTGGACAGCTATGCTGAGATTGAATTCCATAACTCCTCAACTAGGCCTGAAAGTCTTCGTCTCTATAATCTCCCCCTAAATCTGAATGGAGGATACTCACATTACACTTGAAGCAAGTTTGCACCATAGTATGGAATAATTTAGATGTCGCAAAGACCTCCGATTTGTGCCATAGAAAACAAATCCAAGTGTATCTGGTACAATCATCTATAAACAATACAAAGTATTTGTATCCCAATTGTGAAGTAATAGAAGTAGACCAAAATCACTATGTATTATCTCAAAAGGTTTAGTGGCGTGCTCAGAAGTGTGAAGAAAAGGTAAAACATGACTTTTACTCAAACAACAAGCAATGCAAGAAACATCAAAAGTATGAACAGGAGGAATTTTATTCTTAATTAGACTAGAATCAAACAAAAACTTCAATTTTTGAGAATATGGATGACCCAATTGTCTTCTACCCGCTGATAGTGTGGGTACCTATACAGGCGGACATTTGCGGGAGGAGCTCCCGATTGGAGAACAATCCGGTGCTCCATCTGTCTAGTGGGGGGAAGAGCAGATGGATCTTGGAACACGTCCCTATATTGGCTTAGGAGCTGTTGGAGTTGGTCCTATTGCTCTGGGTTTTGGGCTATGGTATCATCAGCAATCAATGTCGGCCCAAGAGGCATGGGGCCCATACTCATTAACAAGGGGGTTTCTGAATATTGACAGCTTTTGAGAATGCGGTGGGGAGGTTCGACTGTGACTGAGACAGGTCTGATTCCCCTTAATAAGTAGGTGATTCAATCATGTTGGAACTGCATCGTCAAATCAGCCCAATTGCATATTACTGGGCCCAATTGTTGAAGCCGTTCAACGCCGAGGACTATATCAGCCCCTAAAAATTCAAGGGCGTGCAGATCTATGGTGAAGATGTACCCCTGAATTTTAAGCCTAACAAATTTACACCTTCCCTCGTATCTGATCCCTTGCCTATTGGCCACGTTTACAGTGAAGGGAGCTATGGGTTCCACATCCAATCCAAATCTCCAAGTCAACCCGGGGGTGATAAAATGTAGAGAACTCCCACCGTCAATTAGTATAGCCACCTTTTGGGCTTGAACTCACCTGTCAACCCTCATGGTATGTGGGCTTTGGCATCCCGATAGTGCTTGGAAATCACATAATATTCAATTTCCGTAGTTGGGACCGCTTCGATGAGTCCAACTTCCGGTTCCCCTTCACACTCGGCATCCTCCTCTTCAACTTGCAATAGGTAGAGGTGTGGGGTCTTACACCAGTGCCCTTGGGTAAATTTTTCATCACAATTGTAACATAATCCTTTTTCTCGACGGGCCTGCATCTCGGTCCAGGATAACTTCTTGTAAGGTACAATCATGGTTCCGGGGTTCTTGGGTGCTGGATTTATGGTTTAGTGCCCAGAGTGGGAAGTAATGGTCTTGGAGCAGAATCCCCTCGGTTGGGTGGGTTTTGTAACAGAGGTCCAACCGTGGGACCAACAGGTCTAGTGGTCTTCCTTAATCGGTTCAGCCTGTCTTCTTGGAGTTTAGCTAATCCGATAGCAGAAATAAGGGTTGAAGGTTGTAGTGATTTCACTTCAATCCTTATAGCGTAGGGGTATTTCTGTCTTTATACTTAGATTAAGGTTGCTGATCTGTAATATTAGTGCTCCTTACTTAAATAAGGGCACATATGTCTTTTCCGTTAATTTTAATAATAAAAGCACATGTCTGGCTGAATGGGAGTTATGTTCTTTGACTTCCAGTTCGAACCAGATTTTCTTCTTTTCTCTCTCTCTTTCTTCCACCTTTCTACCTCTCTCTACGTGACTGATCTCAGACAAACAAAACTCCAAGGCAGGCCGAATCATAACATGGTATCAGAGCCACTCGAATCTGCC